TAAACAAATTTTTATTTTATAACTAAATGTAGTATTAATATGAAACAATTATTAAAAATAACCGTGCATGGCACGGGACCTAACCTAGTTATAAACCTATTGCAAGGTTGTTATATTATATCATTAATACCTTCAATTTAATTACATGATAATAAAAAAGGGTAAAACAAATAAGATTACGCATGACTATTTTTTCAATATTCAAATGCATTTATCACAAAAAGGTTAAATGAGTGTATGATAAAGAGTAGAAGATGATAGATATAGGTCGCCGTGACTTTTTAAAAATAATTTTATATTATAATAGGGCAGCTGACACACGCCCTATACAATTAGTCATATTCGAAAAACAATTTGGGTTTGACTTTTGTCTTAACTTAAGTTATTGGCATCATAAATAATTAGGGACAATATATAAACAAATATTTTTTAAGGATCGTTTGATTCACTAAGATGGAATGGATTGGTATAGATTATCCTACTTGAGTCATTGAGTGGTATGGATTTTATATCCCTTACCAATCTAAAGTTATTTTGGTTTAATCATGGAATTGATTATCATACTTGAGTGATAGTATGGATTATGAATCCTTGGAGGAGAGGTGAGTATGAGATTTCAAGGGAATGGGGTAGAGTTAGAATCCCCCAGGTATGAGATTCATTCCATACTTAAATAACCCAACCAAACAAATAAAATCATAGAATGGAATCTAAATCCATTCCAACCCATTCCTAGAATTTCAACGTAACCAAACAACCCTTTAGAGGTATTAATATCCGCACACTATTCTTAAAAGTTAAAAAAAGACATTTATCATTAATTAGGGCAGAGAATTACATAAACATTTTAGAAGGTATAATCTAAATATTCTTAAGCTTTTTAAAATGTATGGATATAGACCGTAGTCAACTTAAGTATTTTTTATTTTTTTTAAAAGGTGACCCAAAATATAATTAAAACAAACTTTTTATTTTTAAGGAAGATAATGCGTAATAAATATTTTATTCATTTCATATTTAGGTTCTTTTTTTGTACCACATGTTATTTTAAGCCTCTGCATCCAAGCAATGATTTTTATTAATTAATTATTAATGTTATAATTCACTATACATCATATAAACTTTCAGTTTAAAACGATTTTTTTAATCCAATCTAACTTAATTATTTGTAGGATTTATGTCAAACGGTAATTTTTTTCTTCTTTTGATATAGCTTGGTTGTCGATTAATATGATTAAATTTCTATTAGTTTTGGTAAAAATGATCCATAATAACACGTACTATTCATTCTCTTTTACTCCCCCCGTTCTCGGAAGAACGACCCATTTGGCCTAATTTTAATCTCAAATATGAGCCATTACCATTAAGAATTTAAGATACCCACCAATTTGCAACAATATTTGTGCAAAATTATCTTCCCTATATAAAATTTTGTTTTTCCATGTACTTTTATTACTATCTCTCTCTACTTTTTTATAAACCCCATGTAAATTTATCTTTCCAATATACTTTTACTTCTTTTTATTTGACTTTATTAATACCCGCGAAATCAACCCAAAAGGATCGTTCTTTCGGGTACAGAGGGAGTAATACTTTTATTGTGCATGCATATACTTATTACCCTTAATAATTAGAAAAGATATTAATAAATACTTTTTAATGCATATTAGATTTTTACATTACATTTTTTAATTAATAAAATTTAAATATTTAATTGTATAGTTGAAGTTTTTATTAATGATTACAGTTGGTTGATGCGTGTGTAGCACGCAGAGACCCAACTAGTCCATCAAAGAGGAAAACGTTTTCATTTTTTTTTTTTTTTTTTTTTTGCTCGTTTACTTACTTATAATTGTATACAATTAACTTTCTCTGGGTTTTTTTTTTTTTTTAATATATATATCTATATATAAGCCTTCTATATTGTTTCAAAAATATATATATATATATATATATATATATATATATATATATATATATATATATATAAGCCTTCTATATTGATCTATAACTCTATAATGATATTTTCATCGCGTCCATGATATAATTTGTGGATTTTTACGCGAGCCAGGAATGCGATACAAATTGTCTACGAGAACAGGATACAAATTGTTAAACACGGGTTAAAGGGATATAATGACGTCATAGTTGGGTTTAATGGGGGTTTGGTAGTAATCGCAACATCTTAAAATTTTTTGCGGTAGTAATTTACAAAGTGATATTAACTTGCGGTAGTAATTGGCAAATTATCCTTAATTTATTTTTTTTTTTTTTCTAATTTGATTTGATTATCTTATTTTATTTAACTTTTGACCTTAAATTTATGCTAATCTCTAAAGAAATAATATATCAAATGTAGTGTTGTTAGAATCATAATAATGTAAAATTTATAACTTTTTTCGTTACGTACTTAAATATATTAATATTTTTTAAAAAAATCTTTATATATATAGTATGTATGAGCTTAAATTTTCAGATATGATAGGAAATAAGTAAGAAAAAAAAAAACAAGGTGAGTAGTGAGTTAATTGGTAAAAGTATTCTAATATAATTGTGCTTGAAATTTCAGTGTACGACTTCAATCACTTGATTATATTTTTCAATTGGTCATTTGGTTTGTTAAATTTAGATGTGTATGTGTATTAATGTTTATGAACTCTGGGTTGTGTTTTGGCTATATTTGTAAGTTAAATCATCATTAACTAGTATTTCAAGAATTATGTCTCTATTAATGCTGAAATTTACCTTGCGTTTCAACTATTCCAACAACAGCTATAGCTATATTAGGAGTTTTGAGCTGAAATTTTAGGATTATCAAGAGTCTTGTCTTGATACGTTCAACTTCAATTCACTTCTAACGACTCCATCCAATTTTAATCGACTTTATCTAATTATAATCACATGTTTTCTTCATTTCTGACTCACTCTACCTTCATGGTTGATCACTCATACTTGTAAGAAGCTTTTAGTTAGTAGGTAAATCTGGCTCAGCGCGTTGTCTTGTATGAAGTTAAGTAGTGGTAATATACATTTACATGACAACCAACATGACTTCTTGAATCACAATTTTAGGAATGTCATGCATGTCACCTTGTGCATGTATAATTTGATGAGTTGTCAAAGAGGTGAATTTTGCTATGGAAATATGATGTTATCACTATTGCGAGTTTAGCCATTAGTCAGTGAGTGAGGTATGTAGGTGATCTAAATTTGAATTATAAAGTAGTGGGTTTTTTGTTACCCTAATTAAACCTAAATTTTGTGAGAAACTACCTAATAAAAAAATGTTGTAACAAGCTACGTAGTAAGGTAATAAATGATAAAATGTTATAAGATACTACCTTTGGCCGAAGTTCCACTGTTAACCTAATTTTATGGCGTTGACCCACCTCAAAACACCTCCAAAAATCCAAAACCACCACGGGGGTTGATTTTCAAGGTAGTAAGGTTATTTTCAGGGTGGTTAGGGGATATTCCGAGTTGGTGAAGGTAGTTTCGTGATTCGAGAAGTTGATTTTTGGGGTTAGAGGTGGTGATTTTGGGGTTGGAGGGTGGTTTCAGCGTGGTGGAGGCAATTACAAGTAGGTTGTGTTGGTTTTAGTTGAAAGCGGTGGTTTTGGGGGTGTTTTGAGGTGGTCCAATGATGGATTTCTGGCAGAGGTAATATTTTACAATATTTTACCTTTTATTAGGTAATTTCTCACAACAATTTTTTTATTAGGTAGTTTATCACAAAATTTGGGCTTTATTAGGTAATCTTTGACAAAAAATCCTAGTGAAAATTATCATGGTGGTTCTTAGCTTGTTTAGGTAGTACTGTTGCTCCAAGGAAGCCTCGAACCTAAGTATTGCTTTGTATTAACCTTGGCCATTAAACTCTTAGTGATCTTGGATTGTTAATAGCTTCGCTTTCTGCAGAGTAACTATCTACTGTGAGATTTAGAAAATTAATTGCTCTGTCTTTTGGCTTGTTCACTGAGCTGTTTCATGTTTAAAGTTGGTATGTTTCTGTCACTTAGCCTTTACACATTAGAAACCAAGTATCTTGTTGACTGTTTTTTCTATTTCCTTCTACCATGTACTCAAGTTCTGTGATCATGATTCTATCAACTGTGGGGGTAATTTTGCTGTCTGTTGCAGGTGAAGTATGCGCCAAAAATATACAAGAAGATTTTAGGGCCAAATTTGTATAAAAGGTTCAGTGCTGATCGCTATCATATCTGCAAGGAAGATCTTGAGTTTATCTGGGTTCGTACTACAGAGATATCAAATAGAAATTCCTTTGGCCTATCTTCTGCATTTTGTTGGGAAATTGAAGAGGGACCGATGGGTTTAGAGTTTTTTTCCACCATTCCCTTTTATAAGAAAACTTTAAAAAGTTTCGTCTTAGAGGAATATGACGATTATTCTTCTGCCTCAGGCCTTGTACCTCTTGTAAATTGTGAAAACATCTTAAAATTAGACTATGAGATCCTTTTCCAAATCAACTCCTTAGTCCACACCCTCAAAATTAGTTTAGCTGATGTGACTACAGAACTGATTGATTATCTCAGTTCTCTGAGCGTAGATAAGGCTCATACGGTTCTCCAAAAATTGCACAAGTTGAGTTCCACGTGTTATGAGCAGTGGCGGACCCAGGAATTTCCGACTGGTGAGTCACAATTGATAACCAAATATGTAAAAAGAAAAATTTACCAAAATTCCGAAGAAAAATTATTTACAAAGATCATCCAAATAGAAAATTGACAAGATTACAGTACTAACTAATAATTAACAAGCTTAAAATTGACAAGACTAAAATTAACAAACTAATAATTAACAAGCTAATAATTGACAACATGACAAGCTTAGCTCTCTAATAATTAACAAACTAATAATTGACAAGATTAAAATTTGTACAAGCATTAGGTTCACATTTCATCAAAAACCCAACAACATTAACAAAAGGTTCAAAGTTAGTATTTTTTTTTTAAAAAAAAACTTAGAAAATAATTTTTTTTTTTTTTTTTTTTTTAAACTTAAAAAATATTTTGGGCCCTGGTGAGTCATTTGACCCACCAGGCATAAGGCCAAGTCCGCCAATGGTTATGAGCCGCTTTCATTTATCAAGACTCAGGTACAGGCTCTAGATGACAAACAGAATTATAGTCTACTGGCACGAAGCCGCTTGACAAATGATAGGATAATGAGATGCCATAGGGCATTAATCACCCCAACAAAAATATGCCTTTTGGGTCCTGAACTGGAGGCTTCAAACTATATTGTCAAGAACTTTGCAGCCCACACCGCAGATTTCATGAGAGTTACTTTTGTAGATGAAGACTGGGGCAGGATACAACCGAAGACTGTATCAGTTAGTGCTGAGCAAGGAATATTCTCAAAGCCATTTAGAACAAAGATATATCACCGTATATTATCCATTCTCCGAGAAGGGATTGTGATTGGAGATAAAAGGTTTGAGTTCTTGGCCTTCTCAGCAAGTCAACTCCGGTCAAATTCTGTATGGATGTTTGCTTCCAATGATAAAGTGACGGCAGGTGATATACGTGAATGGATGGGCAGCTTTAACAAGATCCGTAGTGTTTCAAAATGTGCAGCTAGGATGGGGCAATTGTTCAGTGCTGCTTGGCAGACATTAGTTGTTCCTGTACAGGATGTGGAAGTTATTCCTGATATAGAACAAAATTCAGATGGCATTGACTACTGTTTCTCAGATGGTATTGGAAAAATCTCCCTCTCTTTTGCTAGACAAGTTGCACAAAAATGTGGCCAAGAGCACACTCCTTCTGCGTTTCAGATTCGTTATGGTGGTTATAAAGGTGTAGTAGCTGTAGACCGAAACTCCTTCCGAAAGTTATCTCTGCGCAGTAGCATGCTTAAGTTTGAATCCAAAAATAGAATGCTTAATGTCACCAAATGTAACAAGTCCCAGTCATGTTATCTGAATAGAGAGATCGTTACCCTTTTGACCACCTTGGGAGTTGAGGACGAGAATCTTGAAGCATTGTTGCAGGAACACATGCGTCTTCTTGGGAGTATGTTGACTAGTAGAGATGCAGCTTTGGCTGTGCTTGAGAGCACATACATGGGGGATAGTAAAACACTTTCTAAAATGTTGCGTCATGGGTTTGAACCAAATGCAGAGCCTTATCTCTTGATGATGCTTCGAGCATACTTGGAGAGCCAATTGTCTGATTTGAGAGGGAGATGTCGCATTTATGTCCAAAAGGGCCGTGTTTTACTTGGTTGCTTGGATGAGACAGGGATTTTGGACTATGGCCAGGTATTTGTCCGTTTAACCCTGAGGAAAACTGAACTTGATGATCTGGATCCACATGTCTTCCAAAAATTGGACGAAAAAACTGCCATACTGAAAGGGAAGGTAGTTGTCACCAAAAATCCTTGTTTACACCCTGGTGATGTCAGAGTGCTGGAAGCTGTTTATGAGGAGAAGGGATTAATTGACTGCCTGATTTTCCCACAGAAAGGAGAAAGGTAAGACTGTAAGAGAACTTGTCTATTTCATTATTTCTGACAGTAGACAATATGAAACTTATCTTATACAGTTGCCTCTGGTAATCATTGTATTGCTTTGTTCTTCACTGGGTTGATGCTCTTTTTTTTTTTTTTTTGAAAATTCTAATTTTTAATAATTATGATTTCTTGGAGAGTAAATTCACTATATTGTATGGATAACGCCCCCTTTTTTTTATTATTATTTAAGAAAAAGATTCAATGTGTTGAGAGCTTCAATGGAATTATATAAAATAAAAAAAAAGGAAATGCATTTTTTTTTAATGAAAAATTATGGATTGCAATGGGCTACATCAAATGTCTTGCTTATTGGTTTTGCCGTTCTTAGAATATTGGGTTTCATTGTTGATGTCTGAATTATTAGTGTCTTTCCATTTTAAGAATCAATTAGAAGCCTCACTATGTTGTGTATCCACGGAAATGTCAGTTAATAGTGTGATTCATGAGTGACTGCTTCTTTAGTTTTGTCTTTCTTAGTTGGACTATATTTTGTATCTAACCCTACTCTGGAGATCAGAAATTCCTACGAGTAGAATATATTTGCAGCCCCTCATTTCCTTCTGTGTGATGGTGTGACCAGCAGTGAAAACAGTACACTCAAATAAGGGTGTGCATGTAATCAGTTCCCTTGTCTATTTTCCACTATGGCATTTAAATGTTGACACCAAAATCACATATGCAGGCCTCATCCAAATGAGTGTTCAGGTGGCGATTTAGATGGTGATTTATATTTCATAAGCTGGGACGAGAAACTCATTCCTCCGAAAACTGTGGCCCCGATGGACTACACTGCAAGCAGACCTCGCATCATGGACCATGACGTGACTATGGAGGTCTATATGTTACCAAGCATCTCTTTGTATTACACTTCATCTATAATCCAATCACCCCCTCCCCCCCCCAAAAAAAAAAGGAAAAGCGTAATAAGCTGCTGCTGCTGCTCATACCATGTTCTTATGATTTTGATTAGACTATCAAGTCATTCTAACTGTCAAACTATGCAGGAGATTCAACGTTTCTTCGTTGATTATATGATCAGCGATACACTGGGAACTATCTCAACTGCACACTTGGTCCTTGCTGACCGTGAACCTGAAAAAGCCCTGAGTCCTAAATGTCTGCGACTGGCTGAGCTGCATTCAATGGCAGTTGACTTTGCAAAGACTGGTGCCCCGGCTGAGATGCCTAATGTTTTGAAACCAAAGGAGTATCCTGATTTTATGGAGAGGTGGGACAGACCCAGTTACAAATCTGAAGGGATTTTAGGCAAACTCTACCGTGCCACTGTCGCTGCAACAATTCCAAAATTAGATTTCAGTTGGTCAGAAGAGACTGCTCGAGCTGCTTATGATCCTGAACTAGAAGTTCCTGGCTTTGAGGACTTCACTGATGCTGCAAAAAGCTGCAAGGAGATGTACAGGGATAAGATGAGCGTCTTGCTGATGTTTTATGGAGCAACAAGTGAGGATGAGATACTGACCGGTAACCTAAGAGCCAAGTCAGCATATTTGCAGAGGGATAACAGGAGGTATAGAGAGGTGACAGATAGGATTTTGGAATCTGTAAAAAGTCTTCGAAATGAAGCAAAAGGATGGTTCCAGGGCAGTTGTGAAGAAGAAGATCGTCAAAAGATGGCTTCAGCATGGTACCATGTTACTTATCATCCATGTCATTGCCATGACAGTGCCAACTGCCTGGGTTTTCCATGGACTGTGAGTGATGTTCTGCTTACCATAAAATCTGCAAATAAAAAACAATCCTGAACTCGTTTGTTCGTGAAGGTTTAATTAATTTACAGTTTCAAGTTTAGCATCAGCTTGGTGAAAGATCAAATTTGGAGGCTTCTTATGCTAGTACAAAGTTTGTAATTTTAATGGTAGATAGCTCTGACAGCAGGGCTTTATCTGTTTAGTTCATCATGTAACTGCTTTACATTTAAGTGTACCTTAGTCAACTAATTATCTATGATTGACTTTGTAACCTTAAATTTCCTTTTGTTTGGAGGAAAGCTTAAAGGCAACATCTGAATGTAAATTTCAATGCGATCATATGCTGAATATAAGTATGTTTTTGTATGAACAGCTTTGGCCATAAAATAGCGACAAGGCATCAAGCTTAAAGAACATATAAACCGGCAAACTGTTTAATCTAAAAAATCTCCAAAATACGTAGTTAACCTGCTGCCTGACTATCAAGAACACAAATTGTGCTTCTAAGAAAACAAAACAAAACAAAACAAGAGTCACATTGTCATACCAAAGCTATCCCTGCTTTTTCCGTAACTTACTCATACAATAGATCAAAGGGGAAACATAGGGGGGGGGGGGGGGGGAAAGAAACTGAAGCAATCTCTAGCTTGAGTTCAGTAGGTTATCTAAGGGCTAAAGGAGTACAGGGTTGTTAGAAGCAGTGAACTTATGTGTCCAGGGCCTGAACAAGTTGGAGATGGTTTAAAAATTTTACAGTATGCAGTCATATCTTCAAGGATTCAAAATATTACTCTACCGTGGATAATTGATAGTTAGTATCACCTAGATCAGTCAACCAGGATGCATAAAAAAGCGGTTGATTTCATGAAAATTCAAATGATTAAAAATCATTTATAATTGGTCTTGCCACAACTTGTGTTGTTGGTATACCATAATACATTAGCAAATACACATAGAATTCAATGAGACTTCAAAAAAAAAAAAAAAAAACCTACTTTTTAAGTCTATATTTCACTACTAGCAGGCGTGTGCAAACTTTTGAAAATGAGAAGTCTTGATGTCGTAACAAAAAATGTATTTGTCGTCGCGCTCCCAGGAGTCAGTGTTGGTGAGAATCCAAATTTTATCAGCATATCGCTCATCATAAAAAAGCCTCACAGATTCGAATTGTTGAAGGAAGCGATACGACTTCGAAGTAGATGTTAAAGTTGGCCCAAATTCTTACAAGCCGCATTATATAAAAATTCTAGTAGCTCCCACCAAATATTACTAGAGAATTCCACTATGTCGGTGAAAAATCTTGCCTTTGATCACCGACATATCCAATCCTATAAATATGATGGTGTGGCCATCATTTGCATGATCAACACATGAAAAAGCCATATCCACTAAAAGTCTTCCACTGCAAAGCCTTTCCACCTTATTAGTTTTCATTATACTTGGGGTTTGGTTCACATTTACTAAACCGAGCTGAATTAAACTGATTGGAGCTAAACTGAACTGAACTGAACTGAACTGAACTGAAATGAATATTTTATGAGAGAGGGAAATTAAGAGCTGAGCTGAACTGAACTGAACTGATTGAAGCTGAACTAAACTGAAATTAAGTAAATGTGAACAGGCCCTTAAACCTCCTTGTAATTTAACCCACCTTCTTTTAATACTTCCTTGTGAGCACTTATTATTGTGAGAGTAACCTTGTAACCATACATTCCTTCAATTAGTTATTTATTTTGTACTCTCTAATTTAATATAGTGGAATTATTTTCATTGCTCGGGTGTTTGTGAGATATTGTTTATCTTGCATAATTTCTCAATCTATTTTACGCTTCTGTTACGTGCTTATATAGTAGAAATCTCATTGAAGAACATTTCCCAGTACCACTCTCCTCTTCCATTTCTTTTCATTATCCAAATTGAGCTATTTGTTTTCGACATACCAAAAACGGCTATTGTATTTCCATAAATGAACAAATTGTGATGTAGTTTAGTGTCACCCGGAAATCACTTTAGCTGAAATTTTTCTTTGGAATAATAGGACCAAAGCACATGATCGTATTTCAGCTTCCGTGTAAAATTTAGATTCTTCACATCTTCAATGCCACTAAAACTAATCATCCAATAAGAAGTTCCCTCCTATTAATATGTATTCAAATTTTGTAGTTTAATTTTTCCTACAAACTAAGACGGTAATTTCCCATTCTTGAAACTCAATTGATTAGCGTTCCTGAAATAGATTTCAACCTAAAAACCACTGCCTAGTGATGAGTTTAATAAAGCCAATACTTTGAAATTATTCTCCAAAAAATCAAAACCTTGATTGAACTTTGAGTCATTGTGAATATCATGAAGAAAACTATTACCGAACCTGAAGGATGAGGATTTCAAAAGATATTCTAATCAATAGAATGCAGTTTGAAATAGGAATCAGGAAATCCATTAGCTAGAGTAAATTGTTTTATAATAGACAAATTATTACACGCATCAAATACTATATTTAAAAAAAATTATGATTAACTTTTGAAATTTTCATTATAGAAAATGGATCAACTAGTTTCCGGTATAGTTGAGCATTCCACATATATCTAATGTGAAATGTATTAAGTTGATTTTGTTGAAGATTTGGAAGTGGTTCTTTTCAAATTGGGTATCAATTATCTTCTTCCTTTAATTACAAATAGCTCGGCATTGAAATAGAGAGTTTATCGACAATTTAGCAAAAATCTTTTCAACCAAGGGTGTAAAGGAAGGTCTCTCAATTTTTTTTTTTTTTATTTTTAATTTTTACATAATTACATTTAAATATCTAAAAATAGAATTGTCTTTACTTTAACATAACGACCTTTTTTTAATTAATATAATGACCTCTTAATCTATTAAAAAAATAACGACCTCTTAATAATTTTTATAGTTTATACCAACTTCCCCCATTTTACCAATATCTCATCACATATTTAAACGTAAGTTGGTAAGCCTTATATGATCGCACTCATTGTAATAACGGAAATGTAAATGTCGTTAATGAGCTTTAGGCTCTGTTCTGTTCAGTTTATTTTCACTTATTTTAATTTTAATAAGTTCAAAGATAAGTTAAGATTAGTTCAATTTAAGAAAAATAAGTTCAGATAAGTTAAGTTCAGTTCAGGAGAAATAAGTTCTAATAAGGGTTGTCCAACTTCAAATTACAACTAAAATAAGTTCAGATAAGTTTAAATAAGTTAAGTTAAGTTCAGATAAGTGAAAATCAAGTGAATAGAACACATCTTTAGTTACTGTTATGCCTATAAGAACTTATGTTACTTTACTTTCCTTTCATTTGTTGTGAGCTTAGTTTAATTAATGTAATTTTAACTGTTTCCAAAATAAAAAAAATACAGCTTCGTTTCATTTGTTCTAAACTAAGTTTAATTAATGTAATTTTAGCCGTTTTAAAAATAAAAAATAAAATCCAAATAAACTTACAAACAATTGATACAAGTTTTGGCTTATGAATATAGTTTTTTAAAAACAGGTTCTTGAAACCCTTTAAAGCCCGCCGTGCCCCGTATTTGACGATCGTATAACAACCCGCCCCATTTATTTACCAGACGGATCAAACCCATTTATAAATGTGGCGGATCTGGGCTTTAACAGGGCTACAAGGCCTCCAACCCTACCTCTCTCTCTCAGCTATCTATTGAAGCGCATTCGACGTTCTCCATTGAAGCGCAGTTCACGTTCTCCGTTGAAACTAATAATTGTATGCCCCATTGAAGCAGCTTCTGAGGTAAGTTGTTTGTTATCATCATATCAATTTCACAATCTAGGGTTTATCTTTCAATCTAATTTAAGTGTAAGTGCATTAAGTGTAGGGTTCGAAAATATGAACTATTGGTTCTAAATTCTAAGATTATGAAACATCATTAAGAAAAGAAAATAAAATTATGATCCTAATTTGATTATAGTATCATATATCCCTAAAATTATGAGATAATTGAATCAAATTTGGTTGCTAATGTTTTGCACAACCCTTCAATGTTAGGATTTAACTATGAAATTAGACCTCATTTTTGTTTCCTGGAAGTTTATTGAAGATTAATGGTTTTTTTTTTTTGTTGATAGCTGCTATTGAATTTTTAAAATTTTAATATTGATTGAAGATGGATAATTGTTGATTTGATTGGTTGTTTCTGATGAATGTTTTCCATAATTTTTATAGAACAATTTGTATTTGAAAAATATGAACAAAATGACAACTTTTTAATGTTTTTTTTTTAAAAAAATATATATTATATAGGATTGATCTGTGAAATTTGAGGAAGACAATATGGTAGATGAAACTCAACAATCACCACAATCAGTGGTGCATAAGAGAAGGAAGAGTAAGCCCAACAAACGTCCCGGTATTAAAAGAATGAAATCTGGTCCAGGGATGGGTAAGAAGGATAAGATTAGCAAGGAAATGAAGAATTTGTATCGTAAAAGGGCTAGGGATTACAATTCAGATGATGATGAAGATGAAGCTGAACTCGACGGTGAAGACATGGAAGCTGAGAATGATGATAATTCTGATATCAGTGACAATGAGGCAGGGCCTAACAGAGGTGATGATTCAGATGAAGAACATGAAGTTCGAACTGGGATAACGCGATTTTCTGAAGGTTGTAATGCATTTAGGCTGGCATTTCTCAGTATCATCAAAAAGCATACTGATGATGAGGCGCTGGTAATTCTACAAGATTCTGATGTCCATTTCTACAAGTAGATGCTAGTTTGTGGCTTATATGTAAGAGTCTTGTCTCTGCAGGGTCCTGTATTATCAGCACATAAGAAGCTTGTTGTGGCAAAGCTTGCAGAAGAGGTCACTGAGCGGAAGGTTAAAGGCGAAGCAAAGAAGGAAAAGCAATTGGTATATCACACTAACTTTCCATACAAATTAGTTTATAGGTTATCTTTTGGCACACTCTGTTTACAGTGTATTGTTTTGACTTTGTAACTAGATTGAGGAGAAGGGACATGTGAAGCCTGCTAATTTCTTAGATTCGCATGAAAAAGTTCTGATAGGTGTTGCCACAAAAGGAGGTAGTATTATTCATCCATTATCCGTAAACAAAAGCTCACTCCTTAAGTTTTTGTATATTATCTTGAAGCTTACATTATGTCTGGTTTATCAATTTTTGTCCCATGAAATTGATGCCTTCGTGATGCTCGTGTGCTGAACAATTTTCCAGTTGTCAAGCTATTTAATGCTGTAAGTGCTGTTGCACAAATTTAGCTACTAGTAACACATATTTTCTCCCCTTCAAACTTGGCACATTGAAGTTCATATTTTAATCCACTTCTACGTCTTGTCTCCA